TACAGAGTCCTGATGACTCCTAACGTGTTCCAGTGGGTGATGGGAGTCAGACTGTAAATACTGGTCTGTATGGGTGGGTTTGTGATACTCGTCAGTTTCCAACCATCCTCCATCTGAAACTGAGACCTCACAGTCCAGGAACACCAACCTGCCATCTTTACATCCTCTCATGTGAACTTTATATATTTATCCACAGAGTTGATGTGATCAGTTAAATGTCATCAACATACCTGAACCAAGTGTTAATGAGTTTCTAAACAACTGTTTAACTGTAGAGATTGGTTCATTTTGTCATCATTAAGGAAACACTGAGTCGTCAGTAACTTTATAGTTTTATGATTCAAGCCACGGCTGATGAAGAAACACAAACCTTGTTCTTCCTCTGCCTTTAAGGCGAGGGGGGGCGGGGTAATGATTTACAGAAGCTGYGTGGGTCAGGTGACTCAACAGAAAAACAAGTTGTTCCAAAGTGACRACACTTTTCTGAAAAATGCTATTATCTTTAAAAAAAGACAAACTTGTGACGTGAAGTTTTTCATGAAATGCGAAGAAGGAATTCTAAATATTTACCTGAAGTTAAAACATCCTGTGAAGTGAAAAGTTCACACTAAAACCCTTCTTTACCTTTAAGACCTAAAATCACAAGTTCAAATACGGTTTTAATCATTAAAAGTTTCCAACATGTAAAATGTTTTTTTTTCTGAACATTGGGTCAGGTTCATTAGTTTTAGTTTTATATTTTGATAGGTTTAAAACACTACTTTTATATTTTCTGTTCATTTGGCTGCAGGTTATGAGGGTCTGACCCGCAGTGCTGAGTCCTTTCTCCTGAACTGAATGTTTGTAAAGGTTAAATAGTTTTTTACACCTCTTCCCTCTGGTTAAATAAAGTTCTGAAGTTTCACGACTTACGAAACAGTTTAAAGTCAAAATCAAAGYGTTTGGCTTCCAAACTGCCTCCATGTGTCTTACGTGATCAATCGGTGAATTCCCAAAGACAAAGCAGTCCTGCAGGTCTGTCAAAACTCATCCCTCATTACATAAAGACGAGAAGACGGAGGACGTTTTGTTCCTCGGTAAAAACAGAGCCTGTCCTGATCCATCCTTTCTCAGAACTGAAAACACAAGAGGTGAAGATTTACAACTTTTCAAAGAAAAGAGCTGAAGACAATCAAACATGTAATACAAAATATCAGTTTCTTTAAAATAAAGTAGATAAACACTAAAGCACAAGAGACAAACACAGCTACTGACAATAAAAATTAACTTTTAAATGAATTTAAATTGATTTATGTAACAATAAACGATGACACAGACTCTTATTCTGAAGGGTCTCGGTGACCTGTATTTTGAAACCCCCAGGTAAAACCTGTTCCTCTTTGACCTCTTGGTCTTCTAAACAAGCTTTAATAAAAGCTGARATGTTGTATAAAATGTAACTAACAACAGAATGTTTCTGCTCTCGTTAGAAATGTTCACTTTGTTTAACTTTAAATAAAATCGGTGTGGGAATCCTTGAGGTTTTCAGTAACCGTGACCTGAGCGGTTTCTCTCAAAGTTTGTTTTTGTTGGCAGACTTAACCCTGACGCCTGTTTCAGTCAGAACATTTCAGCCACGCCTCCCACCTGTTCTGTCTTTGACGCACCTGCAGGGTTCAGATTTTATTTTATTTTTTTTATAGAGAGAGAGAAAAACAGAGAGAGAAGTAATTAGAAAGATAGAAAGACTGAAATAGCGATTAGGATTATATTAAATATACACCAACAAAACACAGGACCACACACCCAACATCACATCTGTCTGCTCACCTGAAAAATAAATGGATAAATACATAGAAGGCATATATTAAAATACACACATACCCATACATACACTCACCGGCCACTTTATTAGGTACACCACGCTAGTAACGGGTTGGACCCCCTTTTGCCTTCAGAAC